AAAGATTAATGTGGCTGCGTGTTGAAGAGCATTTAACATTTATACATTTTTTAAAATCAAGGAAAAACAATGGAAAACCGATTTGTGTTTCAACAATAAACCATATATATTAAAATCAACAACAAATACGAGGTAATTTTTGTAATGTGTGAATAAGGAGAAAAAAGTATTTTCCCTTTATCTGTTAGTTGAATATGGTGATATTTAAATAAGCAAGTTTTTTGAATATAATGTTCAGAGTTCTGTGTTAAAATAGAATGTGTATTCAGAAGATCGTACAGTTGTGTGTTTTGTAACTAACAGAGTTGTTGCAACTTGGCTTGTTCACAAAGAACTGATGGTGAATGATATTCAAGTTCTGTGTCTGTGTGTGTGCGTGCAGAGTGAGTAGAATGAATAATCTGTGTAGACACGTGTGAGTAGTTGAGTTCTACTGCCTTCAACTGTCTTCAACTCTACTGTTTAATTTGGGAATGAATCCGGACTTATATTACTATCGATAGGCTCCCAGCACGAACGCGGGATAAATTTTGAAAGAACGCAAAAAATATCTGATTGGATGAAAAATTAACCAATCGGTGATTTTATAACAAAAGCATATTTGTGAGTTAACGGTAGAAAAAATTCAGTGTGGTGAATGTGATCAGTAAATTGTCCTGTGATATTTAGTATTTATTATTTGATCAATCACAGTTGAGAAAAATGTAGGCGTGGCAAACATAGTAGTAATCACTACAATCGGACAATATCAAGACAAATGTTATGATTTTATTTTTCAACAAGTATTTATAAAGAAAAGCAAAAATGTTAGTTTTAAAAAAGTTTTTTAAATTTAAGAGATGCTCAGGAATTTACAGTATACTAATGACTGAAAAATGAAGGTAAATACTGGAAGATGCTAAAAGTGATACAATTTGATGTCTAATAAATCATAAATGAAAGTGAGTAAAAAAAAAGGATGTTGTGAGATTTTTTTTTTTATTCAATTAATACAGAGTAACCCGTGATATGAGAGACTCGGATATAAGAGAAACCCGGATATAAGATAAACCCGGATATAAGAGAGATTTTATCTGGTCCCAAATTAGAGCCATACTTACCTAAACAAAATAGACCAAACCCGGATATAAGAAAAACCCGGATATAAGAAAAACCCGGATATAAGAAAAACCCGGATATAAGAGACTTCTTTTCCGGTCCCTCTTATATCCGGGTTACACTGTAAATTATTTTAGTCTGTTATTAGTTTATGCATTATATATTTTAGATATTTTAACTTAACATGGTTTGGTTTTCAGGCACTTCCCAATTTTGCCGTGTGCTGGGATCGTCTCGCCAGGTTGATGACATCAAGATCACAAATCGTCTTGGGTGATGAGATTAAAGACATGTTTTCATACTAGTCAGAAACCAACCTTGTACACATGCACAAACACGCACGCACACACACATACGAATGCACACACATACACACGCACGCACGCACACATACACGCATACACACTCACGCGTACACACACACACACACACAAATATGCATACACAAAATTGTAAGAGATAGGTGAGGGTGTATGTATGTTTGTGTGTACATGGAATACAGGTAGTAAATTTGTTCACACAGATTCCTTAAATTATTTAAGGAATCTGTGTGAACAAATAAATAATAATATTTAATATGCAACACTAAAATAAAATAATTACCAAAAAAGGAATTTTAAAAGAATATTTTTTCAAGAATTACAATTAATACTAAATTTTTTTTATGATTATGATTTTATTTATATTTTCTCATTATTATTATTATTATTATTAATATTTCCATTTTTAATTATTATTTTGACTTCCTCAATCCCTATCATCATCCATAATTATCTTGAATTATTTATTTATACGTTTTTAGTGAAGCAAAAAAAGAAGTTTTCTTTCTCGGCAGAGGAACAAGAAGACTTTTCTGATCATGTTAGTTAAAAAATGTGAGCATCCGAAGCAGGGGAAGTAACTCTTTTCGCATTTGTTGGTTGGAAATAATTCGAGATAAACGCATCCAAACTTAAACCGCAACAAAAAAAACAAAAAACAAAAAAAACAAAAAAAACAACAAAAAACAAAACAACAACAACTACTACTACTAATATTATTATTCTTCGCTACTTTTTTGTTTTTCTTCTTTTCGTTTTTCAATTTCTTCTTATCTTCTTTCTACCCGGTTTTTTTCTTTGGTTATTTATTTTCGTTTACTAATTTCTTCTTCTTCTTCTTCTTCTTATTATTATTATTATTATTATTATTATTATTATTACTATGCTTCTTCTTCTTCTTCATCTTCTTCTTATTATTATTATTATTACAATCATCATCATCATCATCATCATCATCATCATCATCATCATCATCATCACAACACCACCACCAACACCACCACCACCACCTCTTTTTTTTTGTTTATCCCCACCTTTATTTTCTTCTTCTAGTAGTAGCAGTAATAATAATAATGCATATAATAACAGCAAATATAATAATATTATTGTTATTATTAGTAGTATCTGTGGGGTTATCTTCTGTCACTACTTTTTATAAAATTACATGTGGTATTTTTTTTTCCCAGATTGCTAAATGAATCTGCGGAATCTTCCACAGCAGCCAGTTAACCCCTGCTAGGAAATGCACTATTCCTGTTGTGATTTTAACAACAATCTTTAAAAATATATAACAAGCATTCATTGGTTAATCACCTTCAATCTAGCTCGCTGATTGATCAGTTCCAACCAATCAAATCGCCTGCACGCAACAAATCTGTTTTCCCGCATTTTCATTCTGAGCCTCCCACATGATTCATGATCATATATTCACGATCATCTCTCTCGTGTCTCATTCCTTGCTGCCAAGATGCAATCTTCAAGAACTCCTGTCTTAACTAATGCAGTCAGATGTTAAAGACCATTACCAGCATTCACGCAAGTATGAACTCTGAAATCTCTTCTGAACTTTTACCAACTTTACAATTCACAATTCCAAACATGCTAAAGGAACTTTATTCTTCTAAACTACAGTTTAAGAATTACTTTCACTTTATGAGCTCAAATACAAATATTTCCAAATCTAAGAGACATAACTCTGTCAAACATTCAGCTTTTATGCTTGTACACCAAACACTAATAAATTCAATGGTTACGTTTTGAAACAATACATTATGTTTTTGAATAATTATTCTATGTCTTGTATTAATTGTTGTGGATGGAAGATTATTGAACACACCCAATTTTAAGCCTTTTGATAATTCAAACCTTCTATTCCTCTCCAACACACATCACACATCCACAACAAATCTTTGGGACCTGCCAAGAAATGAAGAGAACGCTATCAGCCTGCTTCAAGGTAAAGGGATCTCGCTAAGAAGGAAGCACTGCAAAAACAGCCATCCAATGAAGCTCTGCTTTGGTTCCAGGATCTATTGGAAGTGTTACACAAAGAACGAAAAGCAGCAAATTGGACTTCACAGTGTAAAGGTTGTTGGAGAGTATTGTCTTAAAAAAGGACAGTGTAAAGGTTGCTGGACAGCATTGTTTTGAAAAGAACAGTGTAAAAGTTGTTGGAGAGCGTTGTCTTGAAAATGACAGTGTAAATGTTGTTGGAGAGCATTGTCTTGAAAAGGACAGTGTAAAGGTTGTTGGAGAGCATTGTCTTGAAAAAGACAGTTTAAAGGTTGCTGGATAGCGTTGTCATGAAAAGGACAGTTTAAAGTTTGTTGGAGAGGGTTGTTTTGAAAAACAGTTTAAAGGTTGCTGACATGCATTGTCTTGAAAAGGACAGTTTGAAGGTTGTTGGAGAGCATTGTCTTAAAAAAGACAGTTTAAATGTTGCTAGATAGCGTTGTCTTGAAAAGGACGGTTTAAAGGTTGCTGGAGAGCATTATCTTGATAAAGCCAGTTTAATGGTGGTTGGAGAGGGTTGTCTTGAAGAAACAGTTGAATGCCAATTGGAGATTGTTGTCTTGAAAAGGATATTTTATTGCATATCATTGGCAAGGATGTCTCGAGTGACAGGAGCTGGAGGCCTATTGGAAATGATTGAACTTGCAGGAACTGGAGATGGCTGGAGTGATGGCAATGGCAAGCTGGATATAATGATGGCTGGCTAGCTAGAGCTTTTGCTGATGGCTAGGGGCTGTGGGCAAGCAGTTGGCTGAGACAAATAACGCTGTTTATCCAACACACACACACACACACACACACACACACACATATATATATGTATGTGTGTGTGTGTGTGTGTGTGTGTGTGTGTGTCTGTGTGTGTCTGTGTGTGTAGCTGGAACAGATACTACACTTTTCTAGTCATCTGTGCCGCAAAACGCAGCTATTTACCCATGTCTCTCAACCAAGATAGGATGCGACACAAGGTCGTTTTTTTAACATAGGGAACTTGAGCATGTACACTTGTGTCGTTGGTCAAAATTTACCAAGGCTCCACTTGAGATGCCACACTAGGTCATGCTTAATAGATAATGGTTTGGAATTGGAAATTGGAGAGTTCTCCACTTGTGAACTCTTATACATTACATTACTCATACATCCAAGCTTACAGCACCTGGTATTCTCAAGAGGTCATCCATCTCGGTACTGACCAAGTTCAACATTGCTTAACTTCAGTGTACAGGAACCAGCACAATATAAAAAAATTGTATTCTATGTATGTATGTAAGTGCTTATGATTGATTGATTTGTTTTTTATGGCTTATCAACCCTATTGCTAATTATTTAAAGCTAGAAAATATTTTTAGAGTGTAAATTTTTTAGGAGATAATAATGATTTACAGATACACGTACTACTAATTAACCCATAGCTGGGGGGAGAAAGTTACATCCAGGCTTACAGCATCTGGTATTCCCAGTCTAGGTACAGGTACTGACCACACTCGATATTGCTTAACTTCGGTGATCAGACAAGAACTAGTGTTTCAACATATCACCGTAAACTATTACACCACCTGCACATCCAAGCTTACGCCACCTGGTATTCCCATGCAATTACCCATCTAGTTACTAACTAGGCTTGATGTTGCTTAACTTTGGTGATCAGATGAGAACCAATGTTTAAACATATCACTGTAAGCCATTACACTACTTGCACATCCAAGCTTGTGACTCCTGCTATTCACATGCAGTCACCCATCTAGTTACTAACCAGGCTTGATGTTGCTTAACTTTGGTGATCAGATGAGAAACAATGTTTAAACATATTACTGTAAGCCATTACACTACTTGCACATCCAAGCTTATGACTCGTGCTATTCCTATGCAGATACCCATCTAGTTACTAACCAGGCTTGATGTTGCTTAACTTCAGTGATCATAGGAGAACTGGTGTTTCAAACATGATATGGCCGTAAGCCTCTCTTCATTTAGAATATTGGTGTGTCACACAATCTTCCTAACCGCCATATGGTCCAGTTTTCTTACTGAACTATACCAGTTGACTGCAGAGGTATTGGTGTAAGGGACATAACTCTGTCTAATATACATTTTAAAGCACTGAAAATTTTACCATGAATTAATTATACAAGGCCTCTGATTGGGAGATTTGAAGTTTTGAGACGCATAGAGCTACCTCTTAATTGTGGTTTAGCTTTCAGCATTAAATAACCCATATAGGTGTTGATATGCTGCTAAACAAAATCAACCAACATGAAAGAACTGTTTCATGACATTAATCCATATAATATCCGACAATTTCTTAAATCAAATTGTATCCCAAAATATAATGTCAACAAAAGTACAACATAAAACACATCACTGCCTGTAGTAATTAGGTCGACACAAATATGTACATATACAAAAGCTGAGTATCATCTACCATGTATTCAATTGTGAAAGCAGAATAACATATTTTTATTACTTTCAAGGCTCCCCAAAAAATTATATTTTGATATCAAATGACCCATAAAAAGTTGATATGCCGTTAAACAAACTGATGTAATGGAATAACCTGTCACCCCCATGACTGACTAAACTATAGGTAGTAACTACCTATAAGTATCTGTAAGTCAACAGACTATGGGAGACTTGCTGGGATCTGTTGAGTACAACTCAGACTTATGCGAGAACTACTAACCTTCCAATAGTAGCACTCACTACTGGATTGACTTGTGATGACCTTGTGCATAACTGTTACCTTTATTCTTATTGTACTGGTTTTTTTTACAATAAACCATTACTTATTTATCCACCGTGTTTTTCAAGTATATATTCCTATTAGCACAGAATATAACACAAACAAAAAAACAAAAAGGTAAAGAGATTCAGTTCTGGTTGTCAGTGTCTGTAGGGATGTAACCATGCCCTGCAAAATTCAAAGCACCAATTGTCTTTGTATTAGAAAACTTTCATTTATCAACTAAGACACATTGTTTTTGTTCTGTGAAGAAATAGATTGAAAGATGGACAGAATAAGTAGACTATATTTAGACACCTGTGCATATCAAACATACATACATACATACACCCCCCTCCCTGTAGAACATCAATATAAACAAACAGCCACTTCATGCTTGTAATGATAACCACAAAACTGACTGATGACTTACCTATCTGCTTGTTCCAATTCCTTCAAAGTGACGGGTTGTGTTCTAATCCGCCAGTCATCACGACTACGTTGGTATCGCTTTTGACGCTCTTGTGTAGCCTCTTTGCTGTGGGCCAGGTCGGTGAGTTTAATGAAAAGTTCCTCCTGAGGTAGAATGGATTTCTTATTTTCATTTTCTGGAGGCATTCTGGGAACGGATCCAAGCCTGGAAAAGATTAGAAAATAGAAATAATTAAAAAAAAAAGAAAAAAATTCCTCCCACCCAATAAAAAAAACACCTTGATCTTGAATTTTAAAATTTGATTTAAATTAAAAGAAAAAAGTATAAAGATCCATAAGGTGTTGATATGTCGTTAAGCTAACAAAAAGAACAAACAGAATTATTCCAGCAAGCATCTTTCTCAGGTGAAGATTGTATCTGTTAACATTCTGCATATTTCAAACCAAAATACTTGGAGATGGTAAGAGGTATGTTGTTATTTGATAAAGATCAATGTCTTTTTGGTCAGGACTGGAATCAAGATTCTTTTCTCACACTTTCTACTTGTGTTTCCTTTCATTTACTTGCTTCCCTGATAACTACAATCTTCAAAAATTTAAATGCAGTGTCAATCACCTTCTTTTTTAATGTAACATCAATCGCCATCTTCTAGAATCCTGTTCATCCTTTGTCCTTTCCTCAATCCTCTCTATACTCAGTCTTTTCTCTCACTTTCAGTCCCTGTAATCCACCCTGCTGAATACTAATGGCATTCCTTGGGGTGAAATGATTAAAATAAAAAGTTCATCATAGCATTTCTAGAATTTTTGTTTTCCCAATCCGGTTTTTCCCACTCACATCTTCTCAATCACAATGTAATCAAAACAAGAAGGATGCAGATCAAAATAATTCATAAAATAGTAATGATAAACCAATCAGTACTAAGTAATACTCTTTGCACTATTTATATTGTTAGGACTGTTGTCCGCATCTTTGTTGCCATATTCATGATGTTTCGGCTGCTGTAAACGTCAACCTTCTTCAGGATCTGTCTTTACTGCCGAGATGAGGTATTGTAAATATTTTCACTATTTACATTGTTCGAACTGTTATCCTCATCTTTACAGATATATTCACAACATTTCGCTCATTGTACATTCCGGCCTTTTTCATGATCTGTCTGTAAATATTTGCACTATTTACATTGTTCGGACTGTTGTCCTCATCTTTACAGACATATTCACAATGTTTTGGGAATTGTATGCTCTGGCCTTCTTCATGATCTGTCTATATTTTTGAGATGAGGTATTGTAAATATTTGCACTATTTACATTGTTTGGACCGTTGTCCTCATCTTTATAGCCATATTCACATATATTTTCTGTTTTCTTTTTGAATGTGTAGATCTGATGAATTGGGTTGTGATTACAATTCCAATGTAATAAATTATAACCATGAAATACCAATGCCTTATTTCATCCCCTGGGGGAGTTTATGAAGTCAAATGTAAGGATTTTATTTTGCTACATGTATTTATAAACAGAAGTAAATATATTGTTAAGTTTTGAACATTTTTAAATAAGTCATAGACAGAAATAAGTTCAACCACAACTTTGATCTAAAGAATGTAATACTTATTGAAAGTGAAAATAACTTACTTAGATGGAAATTCCTGAGAGTGCAATTATTGATTTTTGCCAAAATGTAAATCTGCATCCCGGACTTTTTGAAATATCTTCTTTCCTAAAGGACATACTCCTTTCCCAAGCCAATATCATAACAATAGAAATTTTTAATGATTAAAAAAAGAAAATAGTTAAATTAAAACCTATTATTTAAAATAAATAAATACATGGATAATTTATCAAATTAAAATAAAATAATAAATAATAACTGCATTAATAAATTAAGAAAAAAGTAAATAATTAAAAACAAACGAGAAAATAAAAAATTCAACAACAATAACATTTTTGTTTATCAGGCATTAAATTATATCCTTTAGCATCTTCCATAGTTTACCTTGAATTTCACAGTAAGCCATTTGAGTGTTCTTAAAAATTTTGAAACGCTAACAATATTTTTTACTTCTGTTTATAAATATATGTTGTAAAATAAAATCTTGAGAGCTAAATCAGAGGAAGAAACACATTGGTAAAGAATAGTTTTCCTTTTGTCTTTATCCATATTGTCTTTTTACAGATGTATTTTTAGTTATTTCTTGATTTTTATACACACACACACACACACACACATATATATGGTATTGAAACAAAAGTTCATCGTGTTTTTTAATAGATGGCATTTGAACACATAATTTTGTTTTAAAAGTGATTAATATTTATGATGTATATACATGATAGGCCAAAGTCTGGAGGTCACTTTCTAGACTTTGATGAATTCTCTAAAAAGTGAAAAACTTATTTACCAACTCACTTTGAGCCACAGCAACTTTCTCCTCCTGATGGGTTTTATTACATACTAGCAGTAGAGCCCGGCATTTATTACATACTAGCAGTAGAGCCCGGCATTTATCACATACGAGCAGTAGAGCCCGGCATTTATTACATACTAGCAGTAGAGCCCGGCATTTATTACATACTAGCAGTAGAGCCCGGCATTTATTACATACTAGCCGTAGAGCCTGGCATTTATTACATACTAGCCGTAGAGCCTGGCTTTTATTACATACTAGCAGTAGAGCCTGGCATTTATTACATACTAGCAGTAGAGCCTGGCATTTATTACATACTAGCAGTAGAGCCTGGCTTTTATTACATACTAGCAGTAGAGCCTGGCATTTATTACAACTAGCAGTAGAGCCCGGCATTTATTACATACTAGCAGTAGAGCCTGGTATTTATTACATACTAGCAGTAGCCTGGCTTTTATTACATACTAGCAGTAGAGCCTGGCATTTTATTACATACTAGCAGTAGAGCCTGGCATTTATTACATACTAGCAGTAGAGGCATTTATTACATACTAGGTAGAGCCTGGCATTTATTACATACTTGGGGCCTGGCATTTTATTACATACTAGCAGTAGAGCCTGGCATTTATTACATACTAGCAGTGAGAGCCTGGCATTTTATTACATACTAGCAGAGCCTGGCATAGAGCCTGGCTTTTTTATTACATATTAGCAGTAGAGCCTGGCATTTTACATTACATATTTATTACTACTAGCAGTAGAGCCTGGCATTTATTACATACTAGCAGTGAGCCTGGCATTTATTACATACTAGCAGTGGAGCCTGGCTTTTATTACATACTAGCAGTGAGCCCGGCATTTTATTACATACTAGCAGTAGAGCCTGGCATTTATTACATACTAGCAGTAGAGCCTGGCTTTTATTACATACTACTAGCAGTAGAGCCTGGCATTTATTACATACTAGCAGTAGAGCCTGGCTTTTATTACATACTAGCAGTGGGAGCCTGGCATTTTGATTATTTGTTATACTAGCAGTAGAGCCTGGCATTTATTACATACTAGCAGTAGAGCCTGGCATTTATTACATACTAGCAGTGAGAGCCTGGCATTTTATTACATACTAGCAGTAGAGCCTGGCATTTATTACATACTAGCAGCAGTAGAGCCTGGCATTTATTACATTTATTTACATACTAGCAGTAGAGCCTGGCTTTTTTACATACTGCTAGTGGAGCCTGGCATTTATTACATACTAGCAGTAGAGCCTGGCTTTTTATTATACTAGCAGTAGAGCCTGGCATTTATTACCTAGCAGTAGAGCCTGGCATTTATTACATACTAGCCTGGCAGCTAGAGCCTGGCATTTATTACATACTAGCAGTAGAGCCTGGCA